GTCTGACAATAGAAATAAATTCTTTTATGTCCCAGTGGGTGTCGAACTTTTGCTTATGTTATTTTGTTAAAACTTACAATTTTCAACTTCTAACAATGTGTATGATTTCCCCCAAACAGTTCCTACATTTAACTAATATTTTCTTGACTACAACATAATAATTTTCTTCAAAGAAAAAGTTATAAAATAGAGCTCATCCATAAATTACATAATTCTGAAGAGGGAGAGGGGGTTTAAGGCAGTGTTATGCGTGTTACTTAGGGGCAGAGAGGTCCTAGTTTAGAGTTACATTGTGTTGATAATTCTTTTTAAAATCAATTAACAATTGCTAAAATAATTCCTTTTTTTATTCAGTCTTTTCCAAAACATTTTCATATTAACAAATTAAATTAAAAATATAATAAATAAAAGAAGAAATATTCTATAAATTACTACAAAAAATGAAAATATTTTTCATCAATGATATATTGATTGAATCTTTTAGACTATGAAGAAAACATTCAAAACTAATATATAGTATATTCTAGAATCCAATGAGTTGGTACAGTAGACTCAGAGACTATGGGTCATCCACAACAGCATTTGCATGGATTGTCAGAAATTTGCTGGCCTTCTTTCATTAAAAAAGTGTTCCCAAACTTATACTATATGCAACCCACAACACAACTAATTCTCATGTTAATTGTAATAAATTTTAACATATAACACAAATACAATTAATACAACTTGTTTCTGCTTTCCAATTATGTTTTACTTATTGGAAATGGAAGAGAAGGGGGGGGGTCACAAGCGTTATGTAATTATTGGGGGGGGTTCAAGTGCGTGTTACAGATGTGTTACGGGGGAAGGGGGGTATTCAAAATACTCCAAATTTGCATTAAGTAATTTATGGTCGGACCCATAGTGAAACAACAAATCTGAAGTATTGTGACCTTTTAATTCATTCGAAGAATAGAAAATAAGAACATCTGCATAACCTGTTACAATGCATAATGGATCAGATAAATTCAAATCACATCAGCCGAAGCAAACAATTATTACACTCTTACATGCTTCATATTTTTTACAACGAAACAGTGTGACATACTATAAATATAAAAACATATTTTAATATAAATTTTTATTTTGACAAAAATTTCAACAACTTGAATGGTCTAAAGAAAGAGTCAAAGAATATCTAGTGTTGTGACCGATTGAGCTCATCTTCTAGAAATTGAAAACTACTAGTCCACAAAGTACAAATCCACCATTTCTACAATTATTTGCCCTGCAATAGGGAAATGAGAACAAATATCCAAAGAAACCAGGTCTCATAATTTAGAAACAAATCTAATAGGTTTACCTTTCATTAACATTTTGCTGAATTTCTACCGAATTCTATTGAATTGTTTAGAATTTTCGCCATTAAAATTTTTAATTGGTAAATCCAATTTGGTAAAGTGGAAGTTTATGGTGGTCACTCTTCCTTTGATTCACTAATTCAAATAAATCAGTATATTTGAATCGCTGAATCAAAGGAGACCACCATAAACTTCTGATTTACCAAATTTTATTGGAACACTCAAACAATTGCCATTTAACCTGCCTGACTAATCTATCAATATCTGAGACATGAAGAAACTTTTTCAATAAATTTCTTGAAACCTCTTTCTGGTCAAGGGTTTCTTTCAGTTAGAATCTCCATATTTTCATCTGAACTCCAATTTTAATTTGTGACAGTGTGTGATATGCTGAAAAAATTAGAATTCCGAGATACAGAAGCAGTTCCATACAAGTAATTTTGAAATTCTCATAATTTTTGTATATATTGGGTTCAACTCAAGTACCAACTTTTCCATATACGCTGATGACAAATAAATCAATCCCCTTGAAAATCCTGACCACCTACAGATGGTATGGTCAATTGGACCAGATTGGGATGACTGATACCAATGAATTGAAATGCACGGTCTCGCACATGAGAAAAAACAAGCCAGATCATCAGTATATAATGGTCAAGTCATTCAACCTTCTACTTGGATATAAGACTTAAGTGTCATCATAAAACACAATTTGAAATGGGGGTGTCACACCAACACTTTAAGAAGGTGAAAAGATACCTGAAAAGAATTAGTGATTCCTGAAAAGCTTTTCGATTTCTTGACAAGTCATCACTTTATAAAATGTACATCCTGCCAATACTAAAATACGCTTCCATTGCCTGGAGTCCACATTTCATCACAGATATAACTACTTGAACGAGTCCCATGTAGAGTCACAAATGTCTTACGAAGAACGATTGAGCAAATTAAATGTTATATTTTTATTTTCCAGAAGACAATGCATAAACACTACCAAAACCTTCAAAATTCTTCATGGCCACTACAACTGTCTTGACCTAACCCACTTCTACCCTAGATCCACAAACCAAAACTTGAGAAGACATAACATGAAAATGAAGGAATCCAAGTTCAGACATATTAACCACAAAACATCCTCGCTAACCGGGTAGAAGATACCGAAACTGCCTCCCACAGGAATTAATCTCAGCCACCAGTGTACAACAGTTTAAATAACTTTATAAGAGAGTTGACAATCAATGATATTAATGTTATATTGTCATTGAATTGAAATTGAATATCATGAGATATTATTTTGCTAATTATAATTTCTGATAATCTACTTTTACATGTATGTCAATTAGAGCGTAATCAGATTGGCTGCCACTATGTATCTGTAAATAAATTAAAAACAATAGATTCAAAAGGAAAGAAAGAAAGAAAAGAAAAAAGGTTTCACCAATTAGTAGCTAAACAAATGGTCAAACAAAACAAAAATTTTAAAACAATGGTAATGATAGACAATTACTCATTGTATAAATCAAGAGTTCTAAACATCTTATCAATACTCAAATGAATTGGAGCTCAGAAAAGAAAGAAAATTAAATGTTGAGTTGGACTGGACATTGGAGCAGATGACCACTTTTGCAATAAGACATGACTTAACTTAAGACAACTCGACATGTATGTATTAAGAATAAAATATATCATTCTTGTTCTAATTCAAGGACTTTTGTTGAGTTTTTAGTAGTATAATACTGAGTGTCAGAGGTCTTGGTTAGGTAACGATATTGAATATTAAGATAGTCCATCACCAATTTTTTATGACATAATTGTTATTATATTCAAAGGATTATGAAAATGCATATTTTTGAAATGCAGTGCAAAATTTTTACTTGAAAATATTTCGTTTTTTTATTTCTGAGTTTACAAGCTATTAATTTTATTGAACATTAAGTTTGCAGTTCTGGAACTTTGTTAGAAACCAGTTTCTGCTCTCTCTCTATGGTTGTCACTATTCTATTTTTAATACAGCTCCTCCTTTCAGGTGCACTCGAACCTGTGTGATGGCTGTGACAGATAATTTGTTCAAGAGTGATTTGATTACAGAAGACACAAGTATCTTAATTTTGGAGGAATTCAATTATTTGTTGTACAAAATTATTTATTGTAAGGAAAGATTTCATTTATAAATGAGCTGACAGGTTCTTTATTTATAAATTTAAGTAATGATACCCAGGGCCAAGTATGTAAGTAATTAGTTGCTTAGGTAATTCATTAGAGGGAATCAAACTTTTGTCATATACTGTATTAATGAATTTGGATTGTGATTTCAGTCAATATTGATAAACTTTATTTACCCATATACCTACGTATAGCAAAGCTTTTTACAAGTTTAAGGAAAACTTGTATATTAATTCGTTTTCTTTGTTATGTTCCATTTCAAAATTACTCTTGAAAGATTATTATTAACTTTTGGTGCAATTTTAACATATTCAGTTCAACCTATATGTATTTTTACATCCAATGAGCACCATTTTCAAGACTTTCCATGTTATATTTATTAAATATTGCAAAAGATTGGAAGAAATTTTTTTGTGACATGTTTGAAGAAACAAATCTTAGCTTGAACAGTTCCCTGTTGACATGCAGGGTCAATGGATTCATGAGGTTGACGCCATACTCCTACATGACCATCCACTTGAAGCAATGCGGGTGTTGACAGGCCCAGGCGACGCGTAAAGCTTTGCACTGTGTAGTCATCAAGGGAACACGAGTGGATCTCCGACTCCGCATATCAATAAAGTCTCATTGAATGTTTTGCATGCTGACTCTTTTTGACGGCCCAGCAATGAAATCTGCTGCAATTTGCACAAGTTTTGGGCTCTGTCATGTGTAATGATTCTCCTTGGACATCGTTGGTCTCGTTCTAACACTTTTTGCGGCCGCAGCAATGCCAGAGGTTTGATGTTTTGCCAATTCCTGATATTCATGGTACACTTGTGAAATGGTCTTACAGGGAAATCCAAATTTCATCTCGACCATGGAGATGCTATCTCTCTTCAATCAACTATAACACCACATTCAAACTCACTTAAATCCTGACAACCAGCCATTTTAGCAGCAGAAACCGATCTAACAACTGTGCCAGATTCTGGTTGTCTTATAGTCTTTGGCAACCGGAGCGCCGCATTCTCATTGGTTCTTCGTTGGTTCCAAATCTCTTTATTCAATGCACATGGGTGCATTAGTTTTTTGGCTCTTCAGTGTATTAAAATTAAGTTATTTGACCGTTCTATTTATGACACTTAAACATTTTATTAAAAAAAAATATTTTCACTATTTTCAACTTCTTAATGAACTTTTAGTCCTACTTCATATTTTTCACAGTTTTAGTCTATAAATAAGTGCATATTTAGATACATGATATTCTACATAAATCTGAAGTTTAATGATAACAAGTGTGGGAAGGTTTCAAAGAAAACTCAACTTGTGAAACTTGCGTAGAGTATTTTTGAAATATATAAATTCACTCTAAGCTGGTTGGAGTACTGCAGAATGTTTGTATACATCTCCAGCCCTCCCCCACTGTTAGAAAAGTCAGTCGGATGTTAAAGTTAATTTGAAAATCCTGCAATTCAATCAAAAATGCTTTGAAAAAAGGATTGTCAGATAACATACCATGCTGAACTGCTCAAAACCCTGTTGTAAAGCCAGTGCTTGCGCAGGACTCAGCCCATAGTTGCTGTGTTCCAAGAATGGGCTGCTTGAACCGAGGCCTGCTCCGGGTGGACTGGCAGGGGAGACAGGGCTCTGAGGGCCACTATGGCTTGTTTCTCCAGGACTACCACTACGATACACCAAAGAGCTGGCCTGTAACATCACATTGATAATTGTTTCTCTTTCTATTTGGAACAGTAAAACACTTCTGATAACTCAAAGAAAGTATTCAAAAAACACACAAACAATTAGATAAAAATCACAATCATAATTTGTTAAAAGACTGTAAAGAATACACCTGAAAAGCGTCATTATTTTATGGTTCATGTGCAAAATATGAAAAAAGGCACTGAACTGAAATAAAGACAATGGTGCTACAGAATGGCACAGATTTTCACATACTAGTTAAGTTTTCTAATTTCTTTGGTTTGGGCTAGCTTTTCAGGGTTTCCCTATCCTCTTGCCAGCTGACATCTATCGCAGTTCAAATTACATTATTTCACATCCTCAATTTTTTGGTTCTCTAATGGTAGCAGTGACACATGACTAAGTATGTTACAGAAGGGTACAACATTGTCTTATTTGGAAATTTTTGTTGAAAAATTTTGAGAAAACATCATTGGAGTGTTACTGTAAATGCAAAGCTCTTTTCACAGAAAACTTTTGAAGAAATCATCTGAAGCTCTTGGATTCTCAAATGCAATAATGTATACAAATCGCTGGAAACAAACATATTAACAACATAAAAGATATTTTAAAAAAATCAAAAGGAATTCAGGAAAGGTCTTTGACATCATCTTATTCAGTTCATTTAGCACTATCTATAAAAAAGATTAAAGGATAAAAAATGTTGAGAAAGTAAGAGTTTTAGCGTTTCTTAAAATGTGGAATTTTGGTCAGAAAACTTTTCAGTTTTCAAGAAACTTCACAAGATATTATTTAAAGCACATCTATACATAATTGCAATTATGTATACAAATCGCCAGTAATGTAAATATTAGTGATGGAGTCATTGAGAGAGAAGTCAAAGAATTACATTTGTGTAATTTTTGAAAAAACAAAAGAAAAGAGAAAAATGGTGTTTATGCCATTTTATACGTACATTTAGCACTATCCTTACCAAATGTTTAAAGAAAAAATTTGGACCCATTTTTGTATTTGATATTTTTTAATACTCATCATAATCGACACAAAATTGCGCGAAAACTACTTCAACCTTGAAAAAAGGTATATATTAATAAAAGAACTAATTACAAAAAATAAATTTAATTTGAAGGAAATACCTGTATATTCATTTTGTAACAGTAAGAAGACACCAAAACAATTCAAAATTTTACATTTTTTGAAAATTCAGAGTAAACTGAGAAAATTGGACCTATACCACCTGTATAAGTGTATTTCACTCTATTTTTACAAAAATTGGATTAATTTTTGATAAAATGTTAAAAATGTCCCAGAGGTTTTGTGGATGGTACCTTCTCAATTTAAAGAATGTTTCACAAAATCGCAGAGTTTTGGAAGTTAAAATAACGCTTTTTAGGCATCAGGAGACGCCCAAACACAAATTTCCATAACATTACATAACATTCCTTCTGTATTCCATACTCTGTATTACACATAAGAGAAAGTAAAAAAGAGAGAGAGAAAGGAGGGAGAAAGAGAGAGAAAGGAGGGAGAAAGAGAGAGAAAGGAGGGAGAAAGAGAGAGAAAATGAAAGAGAAGGGGGAGGCTTATGAGGATGAGGAATACCAATGTGAAGAAGGGGGCTGAAAAAAATTAATGCCATTGAACATAAACAATAAAGAAAAACAAATGACGAAGCAGAAGAAGATGGAACAGTACTAAATAAATGAAAAAATGCCAACCATAAAGTACTGTACCAAACAAAGAAACAATTGTGTTTTATGAACTGAGAATATGCCTGTTGTAGAATCACTGGATAAAATACATCTTATTTTGACAAACTTACAAAATATTATAAAACCAAAAACATCCAAGCAAATTATTGTAAATTCAAGTTAACATGCAAAGCAACAGGGAGTACAAACTTGCAAGACATGCAAACAAACAATACTAACCTGCACAGTTAAGCCAGGGGAAGTCTGGGGGCTAGGCCTACTGAGGGGCGGCGGGCTGCGATACGTATTCAAGGAATTCAAATGTTGCTGAAACATCAAATTTGTGGCTCTATTCAAGGAAAAGTGCAGGACTGAAGCACTGGAGTTTTAAGCTAAGCAAGGGATTACTACACTAAGCACTGATCTTAAATGTATTGCTATAATCTACTTTCACTATTTACAGGAGCAATAAAACAAATTTTTAATGATATATCGGCAAGAAAGTAATATTGAATATTGGAAAGGAAGGTAATATTGATAGATTAATCAATTTGTGTTTCCTGGTATGTCAACTAAATTCATTAGCCCCATCAGTGTCGTGTGTGTTTTAATGAAGGTAGGTGATGATGTTCTTCCCCAACTGGAAGGCAAGATCCAGCACTAACCTACATGTCCGCATGTGAGGTTTCTCAATACATGTATCTCCTAACAGTGTGGCCCAATGTGTGTTTGTAAGGGATGAGGATTGAACATAGAAGAAAAGATGGCATTTAGTCCATGGCCTGTTTATGAAAGTGCTCAGATTTTTACTTGGTGTCGGTCAAAGAAACCAAGAAAATTACCAAAAAAGCCAGAGCAGTTGGGCACCAAATTCTCTCACACACAGCCCAGTGATTTCGACTTAGCTATGGTCTAAAATCATGCCACTGTTGGAACTCAAACCCTAGAATCTACCAGTCAGTGACATTGAGATATTATGTAACATTGTATGTATGTAACATTGTGTAACATTGAGATGTTATTCCTGTACTCTTTAAGGCAAAGTAGAGGCAAATATTTGCTTCATTCTCCACATAGGGGAGAACATTTTTCAGTAAACATTCCAAACTTTCACGAGTTGATTGACCAACCATTAGCAAAAAATCTAATTTTATAGAAACTGCTTTATTTACTGTTGGCATGAATTCTATTTCATCCCGAAAACAGAATACAGTGAATCTCAGGATAAAGTACATCATAAAAAATTGGTTTAATACTTTGTTTTGAAATCTGTTATTTTGAAAAACACAATTTAACTGGGGGAAAAAATTACATTTATTTATGGCAATGCCAATATTGAAATATAAAAATATGAATAAAAACTATACTTTACTTGGAAAAATTCACTTAAGCTAATTTGTTCATTAACTGTGTACTTTCCTTTACAGCACACAGTCTTCTACAAACTTCTAACTCTAATAATGAGAACTGTCTTGGGAATGATTGAGTTGGTTTCATTTCTTTCTTTTTTTTTTACATAAACTTTCAGTTTCTTAAGACAAGAAACTCCTTCTGGTGAATGTTTATTCAAAATGATGTTAGTTGAAAAAGAAAAGATAACTTTAAAACTAAGTTGAAAAAGAAAAGAAAACTCATATGAGGTGAGAGTAATTTTTTAATTTAGATGACTGGAAAATCTGCACATGGGGAAACATTTGCCTGGTACAAAATTTTGTGGAGCAACTGAAAAACTGATTACTCTCTCAAAGTAAAAGTTCTTGCTACAGTTTCATTCAATTTTAGTTCATCAATTATACTTGCTTTGCAAGAGGATGCTTTCACAAAAGTTTAAGAAGTCATTTGATTAGCTTTGAAAGTTATCGAATGTTAAAATTGGGTTCAATTGTTGGATGTAGATCAATGGAAAGGTTCTGAAGAAAACAGGAAATGTTACAATATATGAATTATAGCCGATCCGGTGGCCGAGATCGCTAAGGCAGTAGTGCCGTAGTGATCTCGTACCGAAAGATTGCGGGTTCGAGTCCCACCTCGGGCATGGTTGTATTGTGTTCGTCCTTTCACCCCCTATCATCCATCATCCTCCATCTCTCATTATCACTTTCTGAATAACATTCAGATTTGTCAACTCGAGATTTCAGTCCTCACCTCGCTCAGGTGATAGCCATTCGACGTCGACCATGAACAGTAAAAAGTGAAGTGCGAACGACCATCAGAGTGGTCAACGTCGCGGCCAATCAAGTTAATAATACATAATAATAATAATAATAATAAATAATAATAATAAGAATAATAATAATAATATTAATTATTAAATAAGGCTCTCAATCACGTTATAAAAGTAGGAATGATGTATATAAGAAAAATTTTAACTTGTACACATTTACTACACCACAATGAAACAGAGTGGAGCAAATAATTAAAATAATGAATCATCTTTGTTAAACGTGGTCACAATTTGGATTCCTTCACGACTGCGGAATATATTCTCTGAGTGTAATTCCAACAAGGTGTCAGGATGGTGACAATTATATATGAATATCTTTGCTGATAGATTTAAATGCCATACGTTAAAGTTTAATTACTTTCGTATATTCAAACAAACATTTTAAGATAACAGAATACTTGTTCAGAATTTTTTTATAAAACTCATGGCTCGAAAACAAAATTTTAACTTAGGCAAGACTGTATGATCACTTGCATTATGAAATGGGACATGAATACTGTATTTCTAAGAACCTAACTAAGTAAATTAAACCATTTCTTGTTTATACACAACTTGCAACTTATTACTGTTAAGTAATGATAAAATTACATTTTTTTAAATTTACAAACTTAAACATTATTGTTAGTGATATTACATTTCACCTGTTTTTACAGAACAGGAAGTTTTTGGTAAATGATGTTTTGGATAATAACATACAGATGTGCATTTTTGGGTATTAATATGCATGTTCTAAATCATAATGTAAGGGAAATACTGACAATTCTAAGTATTGGCAAAACAGTGCAACATGAAATCAAATAGTGTTATGGGAATACAATAATGGATGTTCCTGGAAGGAAATTGGATTTTCTAACTGTGATTGTGGTGTGCTGTGCCATAAGGAACTTGAATATTAAATTTATGCTTGTTCTTCTGAATGCAGATACTAGTGCTTTTGAATTGAGAATAATTTTGTATCTCTGAAATTTATAAAATGACGATTTTGGAAATGATTTTCTCATGCATAAGTGCTAAAAACATGTATGATTTCAGCCTACATCAGTAAAATTAAATTCATTTTTCACTTTTATGGTGAAATATAGATATTATATTAGTATTAGTAGTACATGTCTATGAAGTAAAATAAATGCTGTATAACCTTGGCTACAAAACGGGATCTCTGGTGGTTTAACTTCCAATATTGAATGAGCACAACATTCTAATTTTCAGATATAAAGTAACTTATCACCTATTTACATGCCTATAAACTAAAACCAATGTCTGTGCTCTGAACCATTTGCTGTGCTGACATGGAAGATAATTAGCTCGAGCCAATGCAGGTCCCTGAATGGGTCTGGGAGAGCTGGATACTAATGGCCTGACCAATAGGGAAAAAAGACAATGTCTGACATGTTTACTTGTCTTGATTTGACGTATGCCTAGCAATGTTCAAGAAGAATTACTCATGTTCAATGCCAAAAAGGCTACGATGTTGTTAGGCAAATGCCAATCATTTAAATTTTCCATACTTAGGCTGGGGCAAAATGAGTTAACCACTGGTGCTACTTTCAAAATAGCAGTTCAGAAAACAAGGGAATATGTAAGCTCTAAGCACTATTCCATACTTAATTAAACAAAGATTAGAAATTCTACAGTTCTAAAAATGGCTATTTTCTATATTGCATTATTACAAATGCAAAGCTGGTGATAATAAGGAACACAAACTTCAAAAATACGTGCAATGTAGGTGAATTGCAGCACATCATATACCATGATCACTCTACAACAATCAATCAAAAAGTAATTGAATTCCAAAGAGATATTATCCACACATATCTCTCTCTCACACACAAACACACATACGCAAAGCTCTTCAGAATGGTTAAACATATCAGCAATTAAAAGGTTGGCGGTCAAGTTGTGTACAGGGTTGGATTAACCATTGTTTCAATAATAACTAAAATACTTATAAAAATTTAACTTTAATTCCTAAGAAAAGTTTTAAGTTCTTAAAACTTGATTCTAAAATGATCAACTCTACATGTTTTATAGTCATACTTACAGGGGAAATGTTTTGAGAATTGGATATGAGATTTGGGCTTTGTGATGGTTGTGGTTGAGGGCTAGGCTGCCGCTGTTGCTGCTGCTGTTGTTGCTGTTGCTGCTGCTGCTGTTGTTGCTGCTGCTGCTGCTGCTGGTGTTGTGGCTGCTGCTGCTGCTGGTGGTGTTGGTGCTGGTGTTGCTGCTGCTGTTGATGTTGTTGCTGTTGATGGTGTTGTTGGTGTTGTTGGTGTTGTTGGTGCTGCTGCTGCTGGTGCTGTTGCTGTGGCGACTGTGGATGGTGGAGTTGAGGTTGCTGTTGCTGTAAGGGAGGCGTATTTGGTTGCTGGTGAAGAAGAGGCTGCTGCTGCAAAGGTTGCGGAGACTGCTGAGGAGATTGTGTTTGCTGTTGTGGTTGTGGTTGCTGCTGCTGTGATTGTTGTTGATAAAGGTAGTTTGATTGAAAAGTATCCAATGGGCTTCCACCATCCAACGTAATCCCCTGAAAATCACAAAATTTTAATGTAGATGTATCTGAACAAAAAATTAAAAATTATATAAATATATACATTTATATATGCATTGGCATATACATCAGCTGGAAAGAAATAATTAGCATGTACATAGGGTATATCATTTGGAAAGCACAACTAACCATAACTTCCACCAAAACAACACTGATGTGACACATTCATGCAACTACTAACCTTCGATTGATGGAGATACCTTGTGTTCACAAGAGATGGCACTGAAAGATGATTCTGGAACAAAGGTGAGACCAAAACAAAATACTTCAACTACACACTACAAGATAAAGCGGCCATGCAAAGAGAAGAGAATAAAAAAAGTGCAGCTGTTAAAGGCAAACCAAATGCCACTGCTTCAAACAACCAATCAAAATGACTGAAAGCTGATAAACAAAAGTTAACCATTAAATGGGGTTACATGCATTCAAACACACATATGAATAGTACAGAACATCATTACGAGGAGGCTTCAATTTAAATTTGTATGAAAATTTAATGGAACATCATGCTGATTGTAAGATTTCTAGTTTAAAAGCAAATATGTCAAGGATAGCATAGTTGCCAGGATAGTCTGATTCTTTCCAATATTTGTTAAATTGGCCCTTCAAAAATTTAATGCCCACTTTAAGAAGACAAATGATTAATTATTTTATTAACCCATCATGAACAATGTTTTAAGATATGTTTATTTTCTGTGTGAACAAATGCTTCCATTAAAGGTTATAAATAAGTATTAATTTTTTTTACAAGAAACTGAATTAGTTTACACAAAATATTACATTTCAGACACTACATAAACTATCAGTTTTCACGCAAGAATATAAAATAACTTAAATATTAATGTATTGCAGGAAAAAAGCCAAACTACAAAATGTACCACATGTAACTATATACAACTATTTGTCTGACTTCACAAAACATGAAACTTAAACACATCTTCTGACAACGACTCCTAGAATTTAACACAACTTACCGAACATCAGGAATGTCCCAAAGCATACTTTGATCTCTCCACATAAATGTACTACCACACAACCTAATAGCTTCTTACCTGATATATTAAGATTTACCCAGCACATGTAGCAACACAAGACAACTAATTTTACAAATTCAGTTATGCAATCTATGTATTGCTCTATCTACACAGAAAGTGGTGTCCTATGCTAATATTTCTACAATATACATTTTTCTAAACATCCAAGTGAATGGAACCATTAAAAATTACCATGATTTATCAATTAGAAGGTCTTATATGAGCAATGTGAAGGATATAAATATAGGGATGAGGAGAAATAGGGAAAAGAAAAAAAAGATACAAGCAAAACTACGTAATGGCAAATCCTGGTGCAAAACATGAAATTCAACATTCATAATGAAAAGTATTATATGGCAAAATGTATCCATGGACCTTTCAAAATATTCTTTCCCATTAGTTTCTGTCCATAATTTTCATTATTCCCAGAGACAATTTCTCAAAGGGAAACAAAATTACATGTAAGAAAATTCTACAATGAAATAAAGCACACAGTCAGCGTTGATTGTTTTGATATGCGTTTCAACAGATATATTTAAAAAATGTTATTATTTAATATCACATTTTCACATTTAATGAGCATTAAGAATAACACGCTATTAGTACATGGCTTTTATAACGTTTGTTTAACCGTGAAATTTCAAAGCATAATTTCAGCAAGCCTCTTCAAGAGCAATGAACATAACAAGTATGTGAAATTCCAGAAGATTTGTAAAACTGAAATGCAAGTTTCAATAATCAGTTAGTTCAAAGTGAAAGTCCTGAAAATTCATATATGCAATGATAATGAAAATATATGGAACAATGTGTAAATGCAATGTGGATATACTACAATATGTACTATGATTACGATTGCCCATGAAATTCATTTAAAAAAAGTGACCAAATTTTGTTTAAAAATATCCTCATGATTTTTCATTAAAATTTTAATTGAAAAAAGTTGGTTTATTGCCAGAACCAAATTATTTATTTATAAAATATATATGTACTTACATACACAATAAGTAAGTAAACTATAGCACAAAAACACAATTTTTGTTGAGCAATTTTGATGACCAAGCCGATAAGGTGACTGAACAATAAAATGAGGATTTACCATATCTGTATAAGTGGGTTCATAAGCAAAAGGCAAGTTGAAATATTTTTATATGCTAAATATCTATAATTAGGCAGTTTTGAACTTTGCAAATGGGAATAAAGTTCTCCTGGTGGAAGACTTTTTGCACACCTGACACCCACATGAGTCTTGCTGGTAAAAGCCATGCAAAACAACACACAGATACACGTCCACACAGCCATAAACTTACAGCTGTGGGCTGGGTCCCTGCTGGGAGCACCAGGTTCTGCAGATGGGCTTGTGGGTAGGGGCGCCGTCGTGTACCAGGAGAATGGCCTGGGCTGGTTCCTTGAGATTCTTGCGGAGACCCACCCCCGCCTCCTCCCCCTCCCCCACCAAATGAGAACCTGCCCGCAGGCCGGGAAGACAGACTGGTTGGGGAGAGCGTGGATGGGCTCGTTCCCTGGGGGGACTGCACCCACACGCCAACCAAAGAGATTAGCATATGAACAGCAGTGAAGTGATTATGGTAATTCTTGTGTCAAGCCTCTACCGCCAATATTTCAAAAGAAGCCAATTGCAAAAGAAAACCTCCAACCCTATTACATTACTAATCACCAAATACTGTATAAACGACCTCAATCTCCAAGTTAAATATCAATTTTTCAAAGAAGTGGACAACAACTTCTTTAGCAAGAACTGAACTGAAAAACAAAATAATAGAACTGAAGATTAAAAACTCTAATTAATTACTGATAATATAATGTCCCAGAAAGAATTTGTAGTGTTAAGTTTCATGGCTAAAGGAAATACAGAGACCTCAAGAAAAGGATGCCAAATATTTGAAATTGGTTATGAAAATAATGCGTTGATCCTCTCAAATTATTAGGGCCCACTTATAAATAAAACTGAAAAGAATATTTTCTTTAAGAAAAACTAAAATTTCTCCATAATTTCATATAAGAAGAATGGCATTCCAACATAATCAAAGTTTCCAACTTATTGAAGTTAACATATACATGTTACAATAAAACAATATTACAATAAAAATATTTGATAAAAGTAAGAATGAAAATGATGTTGAAATGTTCTATCTTTCACTTGACTAAAGTAAGAGGTATAAGTAAGTAAAGTAAGTTTAATGCATAAGTCAAATAATCATAATAAGAAAAATTGAGAATTATTCCTAGTCATTTTCTAAAAAAACTGAGAAACCTGTCTGAATTGCCCTGAAAAAGAAGAATATGGAAAAGGAAAGAGGAAAAGAAGAGGAGGATGAAGCAGAGGATGAAGAGTAAGGGGGAAATATACGAGTTAAGTGGGAAAAAATGAAATTATGTCCAAATAAATCTTGTATTCAAGAAAGAATTCCAAAATTCATGATACTGGGATCTGATTAGGTCAATCTCTGTACAACAGAATTTACGGTGTACTATAGTATAGGTTCCAAATTTAAGTTTCATTAATTCTTCTTATCAAGGTATTGAAGAAATAAAATAAAATGTTGTTTGTTGTCTTTTTTGAAGTTCGTTTTCATGGTAGATTTTTGTCCCATATCAAAATGGCATATTACGTAAATAACTTTTAAATATTGATATATTTTACTTTAAAAACAAATGTAATACTAACTTCCAAAAATATAATTTACATTCATTAAATGACTGAATACATAGGTTCACTTCAATCGTATCATCTTTCAAGTTAGTATATAATATGCAAGTAAATTCCAAATGGAGATCTCTTTCATTTCCCTTGGATGTCATTCTTTTTAACATGTGAGAGAAAGATATACATTTCATATCTTTTATTTTATATTTGTTTCACACATTGAAAATGTACCGATATACACTTTATACTTATTTATTTTCTGTGGTAGAATACTAGCCTTTAACTTAGAATTTTTAAGATTAGCTCTGAATTGCTCAGTACAACACAAAAAATTGGAATCTGTTCGAAATAATGAAACACAAGAGAATAAAATGAGAACACTTTAATAGTCAAAAAGGATGCTTTATTACTGCCATTTTGCAAATTTTTACAAAAGTTCCTTTGGGGTAAACTTCAGTGGATGTATAAAAATATGGAAAACCTTATGAAATGCGAAACTGAATTAAAATGTTTATTAAGAGTGATATTTTTCAACGGCATATTAATCTTTCAGATGAACCTCACGATGCCAATGCTTTTTCACATGACAGTGTCATTTACTAGAAATTGTTTCAGTTACAATTCCACACCTCACAATGTTGATGCTTTTTCACTTAACCGTGTTATTCACTAGAAATTGTTACAGTTGCTATATTACCAAGTTTTTCAACACTGACTTCTGGTAAAATTGTCTTTTATCTTGTGTGAGCATTGTTCCACACTGTAAATGTGAACTATGTGAATCATTTTACAAATTTTCGGAATGTTTATTATTTTTTACACAGATTCAAGAATCATAAAAATATTTATTATAGAAATATTTTAATTCATGATAATGAAGCATACTTTTAAGGATAGTATCATCCACTTCACTGTTTGATAAAACACAAATTTTCTTTCAAAACGTGTGAAATTTTGAAGATAGATAAATGAACCTTGTACCGTATGAAGTCATGAGTAGAATGTTTTGATTTGTATATCAAAAAGACTACATGTAATGAATTATTAGAATGTATATGCATTCAAAGTCATAGCTTGATTAATAACTAGAGGGCTGGGAAAGCAGATTTGAAATATTCCTAAATTTGTGTACAAGAGAGCAATATAAAGCAGAATTGCACTGAGTGTACCACGCAAGTCACTCCCCACAAGCAGATAGAAACCATTCACATACTTAGGGCATCACTGCACGTTACTGGGCTACCCAATTACTACCACTCTTCTTCCTTACAATGCAATATATTGCAGCCACAAGTTGTCGAGACAGTGAGCTTCACAGTTGTGAGTGAGTCATGATGGAGTAAACGGAATTTGAACATGAGAGCATAGGCTCCCCAGCCCGGAGTCAGTGTATATTTGACTGTCTGGAGGACACCATGTGCGAAGCACAGGTTCCATCATTTCGGCTGCCATTCTGCAACCTTCCTCAGGGCAAAGTGCCGCAGGTCACAGAATTGCAGCCGAAATGTTGGCAATTATGCTAGAGTATGGCGTCTCCCGAACAGTCTAATAAATACAAAATTAGGACATGTTCAAATGGTAACTATTGGGGACCCATGGTTTGGTAACTAATTGAGACCTGTGATAAATGTTTCTGTAATGTCAACAGATTTTTTTGGTGGTTTGCAAGATTCAGAAACCAAGGTTACATTTTTCTTGACTGAAAAATTACATTAGCACTACACCAACACAAAAGTGTGTTAAATGAATGAGGCAGATGAAAATGAGCATTGAATCAGGCTGGGTGTAAAACGGGAAGACCAAAACTGCAAAAGCAACTGCTGAAATAAATGTCACTCCCATGAATACAATTAGCACAAAATAGTACAAAGGAAGCCACACAAGCAAGAATTTCTAATGATCTAAACCCATACACCAATGGCCAAAATGCTTTTGAAGGGTAAAGGCAGGGCTGAAGTCATAAAACCTGGGCTGTGGAGCAATGGAAGACTTATCATGAGATCAGATGAGCCTTGTTTTAAGGTGTTTCTGACTTCTGAAGAGTTTACAACTGAAGAACACTATCCTACATTAGGGAAGGTATGTTTGCTGCAGTATCATGATATTCATCAGCATCTACAATTAGATGAAGTTAATCTTAGAAGTTCTTTTTCCTGTCAATGACAATGTGACTATTTAGCCCAGCTATATCAATCCAATGTTGCAAACATTGCCCTCTTAAGGTGATGATGTGTTCTAAAAGGACAATCCCAGAATTGTTGACTACTTGGCTGCCTGGAAGACGCTGCGTCCTAGGCACAGGTGCCCATGTTTCGGAATTTTTGTTAAGATTTAATATTCAGTTAGTATTTCAATAAGTAAAATAAATAACTGTAATAATATGGAATAATCAATTCGTATTTATGTTAAATTTACATAAAATTTCAACTGTATTTATACAGTATATAAATTTGTAAAATAAATAAAAAGAATTATATCAACAGAAACTAATAGTTACAAGTTTATTCTTTAAAAATATTACTACATAATTTGAATTTCATTTAATTAATGAGCTAATCAGCCTCACCCACATTGCAAGCTTGTGGATTACGCCGTAATGTAGCAAACATGATGACTGAAACATTAGCTTGAATGAATGTGATACCGTTCATTCCAGACAGCCAATAAAATTATTCATTTTTGAAACTATACATTACAGGTAAGTTGTTATGTTTAGCAATGATTTCTCAATGAATCTGAAGCAAATGACCACGCATTCAGATGAGATCTTCATTCTTAAACTGCATATTATTTGAAAACATAAGAAAAGGAAAGTTGTCATACAAATCACGCTGAGTCTTCAAGGCCCATTTCTGCGAGTGACCATTGTCTCTTTCTAATCAGGAGGGTTAAAAAAATTACCTAGGGAACAACAGCTATCTGCAGACCATACATTGATCTGTATTCTACTCTCAAATCCTAATTAAAAATTATCAGATTACAGAGAAGTGTGTGAAATAAAATATCAAATCTCTCACAAGATTAAATTTATTTTTGCTCACCTGAGAGCTTAAAATTAATCCCCAGAATAAAATAATTAGAATAAATTCACTATTTTAACCCTTTTACTTATATATAAAACAACTATTTTAATACTTTGTTACATAAATAAAACATTTATTTATTTGTAAGTGAGATTATGTTAACACCTCTGTGAAATACAGGCAGTAGATCCTGGGTCAATTTTGCAACTGAACATGAAATAATTAAATAAGCATACCAAAGAAACAAACAAACAAGAATTACCATATTAAATGACACACAGTGTGAATTTTCTTTATGCCAAGCATTGGCAGTTCCATGTAAGAAATGTAAGTGACTGACAATTAGTGGAGAAAAGGTGCATATATCTAAACTGTACCCAGCGCATGCTTTGCCATTTGAGTTAATAACATTTATAGTACTTACTGTGCTGTATGGGGAACTGTTTGGGTCTTCATGATCTAAAGGATTTGACAAGGGAGATGGGAAATGGGAATGGAAATTTGTTAGATCAGGCAGCGATCCAGTGTTGTTCCCAATTGGAATTTGAATGGTACCAGGTTCTTGCTGAGATGGATAAATACTGAAAAGAAAAATTAAGACAATAACAAAGAATTATTTACAGCAATATTATTACTTTTGTAATTATATTATAAAAATATTAATATTTCAACAGTGTATCAAAAAATATTAATTATCTTACTTTATTCCTGGCACTCGAGGTACTTCACAACTTGAACGTGGGCGTCCATCTGCAGTAGGCAAGTATTTCCTACCGCTATCAGGAGAGTCAGCTACAACAAACCCAAACACCTGACTATCTGCAACTAAACAAACAATATCTATTTAAAATGTATAAAAGGTGGCACATGGAATTATTGATGTGTGATAGAAAATATTATATATTATCATCAGAAGACAAAGTAAGATTAACTTCACACCTTTGAAAATTAATTCTTAATTTAAATCTAAAGGATTGGAAGAAGAAAAAAAAGGCCTTTTTCACTTCAGACAATTCAAAATAAATTTTTAAGAATTCTCAACAACTGAATCTATGAACAAAACTTGTGGCAATAAATTTATTTTCAAAGCTGAGTTATTCATAAAACTAGAGAGCAGACTCCAAATTGTCTTTTGATATGGATCAATAATAGTCCCAAAAAGAAATAAAATGCAATATTTAGATTGTCAGTAAAAAAAAAGTGCTAATCCAACATTTCCATGCACTGCAACTAATAAAAATTCAATAATGGATGAGAACAACATAAAAAAAAAAATAGACTACAATGATAAACAAACTTCAAGAACAACTTGAATCAATGAAAATAAATAATAAGTTGTCATGAGCAAATATTTGACTTTTGCAACATTCCAAAAATGCGGGATTTCAACAGAACAGGAACCTGCACCATGCTCTAAAGTGTCCTTTACTCTATCCAAGAACAAAGTTTAATCCACAAATTTGAAGCCATTTTTGAGAAAATTTGCAAAAAATTTAGGCTTTATATTAAGTAACCTCAAAAATAAAAATATCTGTTCCAATCCAGAGAGCCTCGAGTTCATTTAAATCAATGGGAGAATATCAATTTTGGAGAATCTCAATTTCGGAGAAAATCAGCTGAACGGTTTGAGCGCTTGCGTTGACCATGGACGGACGGACAAGGTAAACAAACAGACGGATTAGAAAAGCATTTTGCATCAATCTACTTTTCAGAATCAAGGATCAACAAAAAATTGATTTTAACACTGCGTTAGAGAAAAAAATTTACTATACATAACAACAAGATTTATCCAGTTTTTCATTACCAGGGCAAGCAATACGAGTTTTTCTGCTGAGAATTTGTCGTTTTCTGAAGCACATTTACAATACTTCTCTGCATACATGGTAGACGAGAAACTGACAATATGGAAAATAAACCACAATAATTGGCACCACCTATTACTGATATTATTCTCACAGATTAATTTTTAAAATATAAATAATTATATTATTTTGAGTGTATTATGATTAATGATAATATCTGGCTAATTTGTGGACTAGCCAGTTCGTTTTCATATTATCCACAATGGATGAAGCCTAAAGAAGCTTCAAAGTGTACTTTGAAATTCAACCAAATTAAGTTGACATTAGCCAACGGAGTGGCTAAGGTGGTGAAGAGCATTATGATGATTATGATGATGATGATGATGATGATTCATAGCAGATATTTATGGTATGTGTGATAAGAATCAGTTCATAAATAAAGAAGGCGGAGGGGGACTGAGGAACTGTTACCCTGTTTCATGGGGGAAGAGTGTGTGTTAAGATACGCTGAAGGTCTTTTTTATTTTTCATCTTTACCTGAAATAATTCCTTTTATTCACTCAAACTAAAACATGAAAATATTAACAAATTAAATTAAAAATATAATGTAGTTAAACTAAAAATATATTTAACTAAATGAAAAATATATTTCATTAAATTGACTACCTAACTTGAGTAATGTAACTGACTAAACTAACAACCAGTAAATCTTCTACTGCATTATCCGTTTACTATTAAAACGTCAGAGAATTATGAACTAAATTGTCTACTCTCCATGGTAATCTCTTCCCTAAATGACACTGACATCATATTGCTCCGTGAAACCTGGCTTTATGACTACATCTCTAATCAACTCAACTTTGTCAACCACATCGTTTACAAGCAAGACAGTTCATCTGCAACTAGTCAACATTTACCAGGTGGAGGAGTAGCAGTATTAATCAAAAACAATTACAATAGTATGTGTATTCAAATGCAAAACACTTGCATCGAACAATTAATTATACATGTTAAACACGATATTGATGTTATAGTTATCGCAGTTTCCACCTAAATCTTCTATTGAAGCTTGTTTGTAATTTATAGAGACTTTAGAAAATCTTTTTGAAAAATATTCGGAATCTAACTTTCTTATAGTAGGAGACTTTACCCCATGCTAATTGGAAGAATGATGTAGATAGTCTACAATGTAAACTATCAAAATGCAACAAATAGTGAAATGTAAATAAGTGAATTTATGCTTAATTCTATAATTATGCTATCCTAATACAATTTAATAATAAACCTAATTCAGACAATAAAACCTTAATCTAATTTTTGCTCAAGAGCTAAAACCAAAGTTATTAAATCTCACTGTCCAATAGTACCATATGATTCTTATCATCCTGCATTGGAATGTTATATTTCTTTCACAACTGTTAAAGATTATCTTCAACCATTACAAGATGATTTTAACTATAATTTTTTATAAAGCTGATTACTTATCTAACAATAATGAACTATGTTCAATTGATTGGTTTCAATACTTTAACGACAATAATTTAATTACATCCCTTGAATTCTTCTATAACACAATTTACTATTTAATAAATAAATACATTCCCAAATATAAAAATTCTCGAAGTAACTATCCATCCTGGTATTCAGTTGAATTAAAGAATTTACTGAAACTAAAATCTGTTGCACATAGCAATTATAAATTTACATTGGATGATACTGACCATCTTCAATTTTCTAATCTACTTAGAAGGTGTAAAAAAATTAATAAAATCGACTATGACAACTATACACAAAGAATTGAAACAAACATTTCTTATGATATTAAATCATTCTGGAAATATACAAATGATAAAAGCGAAATTAAGGGACTACCGAATGTAATGTTTTTAGATGCTAAACAACGGTTATAATGGTGATGATAACCTATTTGCCTAAATACCCTACTTGCTGAATATTTTCAATTGGTGTATAATCAGAATGATCATTCAATGTGTTAACGTAGTGCTGATAATCACTATGCTAATTCATCAATCAATATCAGTAATCTGGAAATTACACAGAGAGAAGTATATGATGGTATTTGTAAACAAAGTTAACAAAGGAATTGGACCAGATTGTGCATCAACATCATTCTTAAAAAATTGTATTCCCAATATCACACTGATGCTACATATACTTTTCTCCAAATTGCTCAATGAAGGTATCTTTCCACAAATTTGGACTAAAGTTTTGTTTCTCCAATATATACACCTGACAACCGTTCAAATATCAGAAACTATACATCAGCATCACTAATGATCACCATTCTGAAAATGTTTAAATCCATTGTTACATCAAAAAATTTCAACACTCATAAATAATATTATTATAGATGAACAACGTGGTTTTCGAAGTCAGATCAACTGCAACTAATCTTTTGTTATTGCAACACTTTGTAATTGATAATATTGATAACCTTTCACAAGTTGATGTCATATATACTGATTTTACTAAGGCATTTGATAAAATGAATATAAATATTTTAATGATATTGGTTGTCACGGCACAATGTTGAAATGGATGACAGCTCTCATGATGAGAGCTCAAAACATCAAATAGAAAATTTATTGTTCTAGAGATATAAATGTAACATAAAGAGTTCCACAAGGCTCACACCTAGGCCCTTTATTGTTTTTAATCTATATAAATAATCTCAAATTCTCGTTTTCTAGACAAAAATTTTGAACAGAATCTCATTACTTTAAAGGTAATGAAAATCTTGAAATATTAAATAAAATTAAAGATCTAGGAGTTACATTTGATTCATCATTAAAATTTAATAAACATTGATTATATAATAAACAAAGCTAACAAAACATTAGGATTTCTGAGACGAATGACTTGTAAATTTGAGAATCCATTTGTACTTAAAACATTATTTCTATCATTAGTTAGGCCAATCTTATTTTATGCTTGTACCTGTTTGGGCACCCTACTATGATATATATTCTCATAAGATTAAAACTGTTCAAATACTAATATCTCACCTACATGGCATGGAAACTTCAAATAGAATCCCCTAGAATCTCTCATAACTATTTCCATGTAGCTAATTATGTAAACAGTAGATCTTTATATTCGCATAGACAATTCAATGATTTATTTTTTTGTAAATTGCTAAATAATGAAATTGACTGTCCCACTTTATTATTAAAAATCAACTGGAAAATTCCACAGTGGATTACTAGAAATAATTATCAAATTATATATTATAATTATCAATTTTTTTTGTACCTATTGCTAAATATAATTTAGGCCTTCACTCTCCATTATGGTGAATGAGTAAAATGGCTAATAAATATGAAACTAATTAATTTTTTAAAGTCAGAAAATAACAATATTAGATTAGCTAAAATTAAGTAGTTAAATGTATTTAATTGATATTACAACGGCACATTTTGTAACATATTGTATTTTGGGCAATTGCCTGTTTAATGAATAAATAAATAATTAAAAATATGACATAAATGTTCACAATAATTGAAAATATATTTTCATCAATGGAACATTGATTGAATCTTAGATCATGAAGAAAATATTCGAAAATGATCTGTAGTACAGTTGACTCTGGTTATAGTGAACTAGGGACTAGCATTTTTACTTCCTTATATCTGATGTTCATCATATCCGTTGAATTTCTCCAGAATTAGTGATTTTATGAATTCAGAGATAGAGCTAGAAAATACTACACAATTACTAGCACGATCTGAAAATGTCAATATATTTGACATTAAAAAAGCAATTATTTTCAATCCTTCACTTCATACATCCTTCTCCAAAGTTTGTGCTCTCTCCATTCTTGCTTCTGCATTGTCTACTGTTTTTGAGTATTGTAATGCAATCTTGACACCCTTTCAGTGCCTTGTCCACTGTTGGAACACCATTCTACTCTCAGAAGGCTCTTTTGCTCACATAATTAGTTTGGTAGTGGCATGGTTCAAGCTGATGGTGGAACTGATCCCCTGACCTGCAGAATCTCAAGTAACATTAAGCTTGAAACTGAAGCAAGGAGTCATGTGTCGGTCATGCAACTTGTAGCCCACGCAGGACACAGCCTTTGATTCTGCACGGAAACCAAGCAGTACAAGGTCATCAGTAGGGTGCAGATATAAATGAAATATCATATTTCCTTTTCACTTTATAACAATGCTATTTAGTATAGAAATTAATTTTTAATGTCACAAGGATATATGTCACTCTCTTGCATTTTTTGTCAATTTTGACTAACAAGTCGTTGTTTACCTTTTCCGGTATTTTTAATGCATTTTTCCCCCCTTCAATCATCAATTCTAACGGCATATGCTTCAAATAAATTTATGGGATGCAACAAATGTTCTGCACAGAATTCCTGCATAGTCTATTTGATTTCTTCACCCAGGTAATGTCAGCTGTTGTATGTAATCTAAAGTGTCTATGACACCTATCAGTGCCATTGTTGGTTCAGCAAGTTTGGGATATTTCTTGGTTAAGAACAGCTTAAACCAAAAGCTTGCAAGCTGATTTCACTTGAACAAATGGAAAAAGGCTCGATTACATACATACATACAATACATCTTTTCCACTATGATTAAATCAGTAACATCAACAATTTGAGATGTTCATCTGAACTGGTTTTGATCACATTTTTTGGTCATGTTTCTTTTCTTCTAGTGCATTTTAAAAACATTTTGAAGAGCATTTTACTGATCATTTTTGGCGGTATTCTAGGCCATAAAAATCCATCCCCTAGTCATCAGTAAGGTCTGTATTCTGGGTCCACTACCTCTGCCTCAGGGGAGACTTCTTCGATTAAGATTTTTGGCCAATGATATTTTTTCCAAGTTGCCTAGTTCAATATAACTGTATATTCGTCTACTTATTTGTAATGGATAAACGGGACAAGTAACTTAAGTTCACTTTAACCAAATGAAATTGACATAGTAGATTCTCACCCATGTGTCATTGATGACAACATATGCACTATTCAGAAATTTTGTCAACAATGCTTCCTTCAGGCATGTAAAAATTGTCCCCCAATTTTATTATTAGGTGCAGTCAGTATCAAAAATTAATTATCATTAATATATAATTTATTTTTACTTTTTGTAAATTGTTGGGGAGGGGGGCAGGTTTGGAAGCGAAACGTAATTAGGGAGGGGGGTCCAAGCATGCGTTACAGGGGGGAGGGGATAATTAAAATGTCCTAAATTTGCCTTGCGTAATATATGTTTGGTCCCTAAACAGATATCATTTCTGTTTATATCATAGTTCTGACGCAAATAAGAAATTAAATGAATACCACTGTCAATAGGTGTGTTCGTTTTAAAGAATTTTTGTAAGATTTTCTGGTTTTTGTGTTTAGTTTCATGGCATTGTTCCGATCTGAGCACAGGTAACTTCGTTTACTAGCACATTTTGCTGTAGTAAACTTGTTTATTTTAAATAAACGATTACAGAATTTGGTTTAATGCAATCCCGCGATGCATTCATGCGCTAAGGGATTGCGTTGCAGCAGCGTGGGCAGGGGCACAATCACGTCCGGGCCGGGTGCGGCGGTGGTGGTGGTGGTGGGGGGCAAGGCGGGTCGGCGTGGCACGGAGAGGTGAGGCGGAGCGATGCGTGACATGATGTGACGTGGCGGAAACGGAACAGCCGGAGTTGGACGGGCAGACACTGCAGGGATGGAAGGAAAAGGGCGCAGGGCAGGATGTGAGGAGGGGAATGGAGAGAGCAGGACAGGTGGGGTGTCGTAGGATGGGTTTGGCAGGGCAGGCAGGCAAGATTTATTTAATTTTCCCCAGCCCAAAAATTCGCGTAAAAAATTTGAAAACACAAGTTTTAATGATCCTAGGAGTTATATCAAAGAAAATAAAAACCTATAATTTTATGTAACGAAATATTCCTTAAAAAACAAATTTCATCATGACAACGCATACAAAAGAGTTCGAGAAACAAGGTAAAGTGATAATAAAATGCAAACTTTATAAACAAGTGTTGGCAATTCCAATTTCATTATAAAAATACATACAAACCAAATCGACTATTACCGCTGACTCTGCAGCGACTGTCTGCGAAGTCCTAGGTTCGAGTTTTGCAGTAGCAGCTTTTCGACATTACTAGATATTACTTTTAGTTCGTCAGGTCGAGTTCAGCAATTGTAAGGAGGAGAATTCTAGGGACAGGCTGCTTTGGTAGGTAGTTTTACTTGTTGACTTGAGGTACTGAATACTAATTTTGCAACAGAAAACAGAAGAGGTTCGCATGAAGAACTTGTTAGACCAAGTGGTGACGTATGGCCGTTGTTTGCGCTTTAATATTGCTATTTAAATATAGTAATTTATATGTGTGCATTTGTTGCGCTTTTTTGTAGTGACACAATCTTGCAAAGCAAGCCAAAGCACGAACATTGCAGTGCCCCGCAACCGGCTTTTCCTCGTATGCCAAACAGTGCTTATGAGAGAGAAACGAACGGGATATTCGTGACTTCGTCGTGAATGTGACCAGAGAATATGACGTTAAAAGTGTAGTTTATTGATTCTGAAAGACTTAAGGATTTCCAGAATCCCTTGAAAGCGCCGACGGCAAAGGGCGTCGAGCAGCGCCAGGCGCAGAGCGGCGCGCTTATCAAGAGCACTCCGGAACTAGGATTGTATGTGTGAAAGCATGATGGACTGGTGTTTTTCGGGAGCACCAACAGGTACGGCCATGGTTCAGCAAGTGATGCGCAGGGTAGTCTCCCTCACTGAAAGCGCCCGGCGCGTCGGCTCGCGGGATTTCATCCCCAGGCATTCCCCCAGTGGGGCCTCGCCACCAGCTCTAAGCTCCCGACATGTGTAGTGGATGTTAAGAGTGAGTCTGAAGGGCGAGGAGGCGCGAAGGAGGAAGGAACTGCTGCCACTTACCCCCTCGCTGCGAGCCCGCGGAGCGCAGCGCGCCCTCCACGCCCGTGTTCATGGCGCTCTGGTGCAGCGCCGAGTCCGAGTTGGTGCGGCGCCAGCTGCTGTCGGGCGGCGGCGAGAGGTAGGCGCTGCTGCTGTAGGGCGAGGTGTCGACGCGCCGCTCCACGCGCCCCGGCCGCGTGGGACCGCCCTGGCGGATGGGGCCGCCGCCCGCGCGGCCCCGCACCTCGCGGTAGTCCGGCGGCCGCGCCGGGTGCATCTCCACGTTCTGCGGCCCGCCCTGCAACAAACGCATTCAATAAAAATTATCTTCGCTGGACCTTTGTTTCGACCTCTTGTAGGCTTCTTCAGGGCCGCTTTGAGTCGGCGCGGTCAGCGCTCGGGTTCATTTATGGCTGGGGGCTGCACCAGAAGGCTGACCGTCAATCGCGGGAGGAGGAAAACCTGGCGGCGCGTGATCTGACATCAGGAACGGTCCGGAGTCGGACGGCAAGGGCGGTTCAGCCAAACCCACTCGGCCCCAACCCATAGCACAAGAGCTGAACACTCCGGCGCAAGAAAGCCCTGAAGAAGACCACGACAACATTGTCGAAACGTTGGCGCCATAGGTTTCGATGCGGTGTCACCTGGACAGTCGAGATCATTTACATGGACTGACCGCACATGCCTATGACTTCACATATTCAGTGATTGGCAAATTCATTTTAATGAATAAAACGATTAAACTAGTAAACTGACAATGACATTTTTAAGTTAAATATAACACCACAGTTTAGATTCCATAAACCCATATAATATTTAAATTGAATCTAATAAAACTATTCTTAAATATTTCTTAAAAAATATGGGCTCTATTCTCATTTTCACGTCCTGAAGGCACAATGGACAATGCCATTCTCAAGGAAGAATCTCGTGCACTATTGCAACCAAATTGATTGTTGAAAGAGTAAGTATAAAAATGTAGTCCTAGGGAGGGAAATACGAAGAACGCGATGGTCATCATGAAAAATGTGTTGTTCATTTGCTTTTTAAATAAAATAACGAAAACTCTGGATTTCTGCGGAACTGACTTATTAAACACCTTTTTATTCAAACCGTGAGAACATATCCAAACATTTGTGGAAGTATTTTGGAATAAGTAGATAAAATATTTCAGTATGTTAGTTGGAGGGAATGCTTTCATTATATCAATATGTCAAAATATCTCCCTTTACAAAAATGAATTGTCAACGGAAAGGTGTACATTTTTATTTTGTGCATATCGTCGCTGGGAAATTTTCTTCCTTGAAGCCCAATAAAAAACTTCCAGCGACGTTTTGGGTAAAATGATAAAATTATTTTCTATCATCACACGCAGGTCTTCGGATGCATTACTTCCGTGTATTTGATGTTTGTTTGGAAGTCGAGCCGTACACGACGTGAAGCTCAATGGGAGACGCGACGAAAAGATAAGGCACAAATGCAAGATGTGTGACCCGTAGAGCTGAAAGGAAGAGTTTGTTTACATGAAGTCATCTGCGAAAGCGACTATCCAAATCAATACTCAAATGATCACGAATAGCCTTTTCGATAATTTCAACTTGATGGGTATTCTGGCCAGTTGATTTTTGCTGGTGCACATGAGTGAGAAGATGATGGATGTGCTGTGGTACAAAAAAGTACGTAATTTAGTCGAACGTGTAGTGTGACAATTTTAAGATATTAAAATGAATCGCAGGAAAGGGGGTGAACTAATTGAAAATGGTTAAAAAAGGAACATTTTAAAAGTATTCGAGAACTTAAATGGATATTTCAAAAACTGAGTCAATCGTGTGAATGAATTTTGCAGAAATGAGAAAATGAACAAAATGTAACATAACGTGTTGTTGGAGGTTGAATAAATGTTGGATACAGCGTTTATTTTATTGCGTAAATTAATTAATCAATATTTGACAGTGCAATCAGCAAAATACACTTTTTTTCAGTCACGTTATATATATATATATATATATATATATATATATATATATATATATATATAAATATAAAGGTCACATATATTAATAGTTATGAGGATAAAAAATGTTATATAATATTTACATTTATATTATTATTATAATAATAATAATAATGAGTACATATATTTTTTTAGTAGTTGTATGTATTGAGTAAGGTAGCCGGGCAAGCAAACGTGTCATATCGGTAACAACGCGCGGATACTCCATAAGACACGTTGTGCCTTCACGTGAAAAGCAGTATAATTTTTGTATTTATAGCTTCTTTTAATGATACAAAACAACTTCTCAGATAAATTATATTGTATGAAGTGCTTTCATGACAAAATTCTGACTCAAAATGCAGTAAAACGTCAATTATCAGAGTTAATGACAGGGAAGAGAATACATGGAAAATCGAAAACCTCGGATAATCAAAATATTTTTTTACTGATTCAAAACTGATACTTAAATTCTAATTTAGAAATATGTGAAAAATAATACGGGTCATCTCAATATACGAAAAACAATCAAACAACTAAAGGCTGAAACGCCATTTTCAATATTTAAAGGACTTCTTTAATTTATATTCAAAATTGAAGAATATTTTCCCTGAAAGATGGAAGTGTCGTCATTATAGCGCTAGACGTCACCATTACATTTACCCAACCTCTACAGATTCTGCATCATTACAACAACAAAACAAGTTTTATTATTTTTTTAAATCATGAATTTCAAAGCTAACTATGGGATTAAATTCACTAAAATCCCTTACATCTGATAACGACTTCGACATGAGGTTTCCTTCAAAACGAAAAAAAGTCATAAATTGGTTGCTTTTTTCAACAATTATATCTTTTTAAAAAAGTTTATTTAACCTGATACTTGATGTAATTTGGTTATCTGAATAAGTCGTTCAATTTCCAATAAGTTCGTAATTTCAATTCTATCCCGTTACGGGTACCGCTCATCTCAGAAAACGGTTATCCCGGATAATCGAAACTTGGATAATGCTGGTTTCACTGAACTTCCGTTACAAAAGCGAGTTTAATTCCCTCTTCGTGTAATTCACTTTTAGTTTTTTGACTGAAGGTATCGAAAACCCGGAAGACAATTATTTTGGCTTTTAAAGCGGAGCTACCAAGATAAATGAGCACACGTGTTACGATAATAATTTAGCACTATTACTTCCAATAGAAACAATACTCTAAAATACATTGAAAAACCAGTGGTGCTAAAACACGTACTTTTTCGCCATTAGTAATGTTTATGTAATACTATTTATACCACAATTTCTCTCCGAATTATTTTTTGTAAAACTCGTTTAAAATCGTAGAATATTTGGTGCGAAAAATAAGCAAAATGCAACAAAGTAAGATAAATAAAAGTTAATGAATAATACGATACTGATTGCGTTGGCAAACAAATAGATCGAAAAATATACAATAGTAATTATTCAACACAATGACATTGAAATATTCTACAACAATGTAAAAGGATCCGTTTTTATTACAGCGAATAAAAAGTAGCTGCCATTATCGCATTTTGTTATCTGGGCGGCGTTACAACAATGGTTAACAACAACCAAAAATGACCGCTCGTCAATCCGTTTTCACATTTAACACATTTAAAGGATGTGCAATTTAAAAATGAAGTTAATTTATAAAAAGGACGATTATGAAATATAAACAAATTACTACTTACGAAGCATTTGCAGTTATTTCGCCAAGCGCAGAACCTCGGGGCCCGTGACTATGTTTATCACCAAATTACAAACAAAAATATTTATATATAAAAAAAATCATCATTACCTTATTTAAAGATTGTTTTTGATGAACATATTTCATTAAGAAAAAAAAATATCTTCACAATTGATGTTGAAGGAAGACGCCAAAAATGTTTAATTGCTTTTATTTTTAAATTTTCGAGTAACCATGCATTTCCACGATTATGAGAACAGCACCATTATCTTAACAGTCCTTCAGACAAGACAACAAAAAAATAATCAAAAAACGAAGGATTCGTTTTTGAGAAAAAAATTAAAATAGCCTATATTTCACGCAAAATTACGCAAATATACTAACATTTTTCGCAAAATTGAACATATCAAGCGTTACTGAAAAATCTAACTTTCAGGATCAGATTTCATTAAGGGAAAAAATCTCTTACCTTCATAAACGCAGTTGTAGGGAGACGCCGAAAAACGTTTGAATTTTTGCAACTGTAGAAAAATTAGTGTTCAAGAAAAATGAGACATTCTCTTAAACGACATTCTCACTATCCAACAACATTTAATCAAAGGAGCTATTTTTTTAAAAAAGTTTGAAAATGACACAGGGGCCTTCAAGACAACGCAACATCAGCCATATCGATCGGGAAATATCAATTTTGGAGAAAATAGGTTAAACGGTTTAACCGCTTGTGTTGTTCACAGTCGGGCGAACGTTGTGCCGTTAATAGATTTTTCGGTATGAAGGACCTACAAAACATGGATTCTGGCTATACCACGCGTTAGAAGTTTTTATTCTTCTTCTAAATTTAGTAACTGGATTTATACTCTTTTTCGTTACCAGGGTCCTGTAACAGTTTTTCTGATGCTACTTTCTTCGGGCAGCATTCCATAATTTCCTCACTTCTGCGTAAGCGGTAGCGATAACGGAAAAAAGTGGAGCAATTTTTGAGAGGATATTGTTGAGGCTTCAAGACAAGTACACTTTCAAACTCAAAGGGCCTCAAGTTCATTTCAATTGATCGAGGAATATCAAGTTTTGAGAAAATCAGCTGAACGGTTTAGGCGCTGGCGTTGACTACGGGGACGGGGGGAGGGGTGGCGGACGTGCTGGCGACAGCGAGGGAGGGGACCAGGGGGGCGGGGGGTCGTGGGTGAACGGACGGGCGGGCGAGTGGGCGGGAGGGCGGAGGGAAGGGCGGACGGACGGAAGGGCGGACGACGGAGGGCGGATCCGGAAGGAAGGGCGGACGACGGAAGGGCGGGCTGTCACACGTGTGTGTTGCGTTATTCCAATTTGCGATGACATGATTTCTGACTATACGAGTTAAACACGTTTATATCGAAGTATACACAAAGTGTTAGAGCAAGTAATTTACTAAATATAGAGAGGATTTATCACCTCTTTCATTACCAGGGCCCGGTAATTCGAATTTTTTTGTTTGTTTTTTTTGACGAAATTCGCTGTTTTCCGGCCACATTTACAATATTTTTTCTTCTTACGAACTAAGGGCGAGAAAGTAACACAAGAGAACAAGGAGCCGATGGCTGTTGTTGGTGCCCGTTGAGGCTGGTAAT